AAAATTCATTTACAACATAACAACCAACAGACAACTACATTTCAAGATTTCAAATTCCATCGAAGGCCCTTACCCCAAACACATTGGCACACCCCAAGGCAGTGTCCTGAGCCCCACCTTATATAATTTATATATACTAGAACTATCCAATCAGATAAAATCTCCAACTCAGATTCTACAATATGCGGATGACACACTGATTTACCTAAAAACAGATAACATCCTAAACGGGAAGCTGGTTATGGAAAAAAACCTACTCTCAATCAATAATTACTTTAATCAGATTAACCTTCCTCTTTCACCTGAAAAAACACAATTCATCATTTTCTCAAAAACACACACCAACATCTGTCAACTACCTATCTTAAATTTCAACAATACATCTATCAAACCGACAAATACATTAAAATATCTAGGCTTCCACCTTGACATACAACTTAACTGGGACTATCACTACATGAATATCATTAAAAAAACCAGCAAACTAATGAACATTCTCAAATTCTTAAGAGGTACTTGGTGGGGAGGCCACCCTCAAATCTTAATCCTGATTTACAAATCTTTAATTAGAAGCACCATAGAATATAACTTGTTTCTAACACACACAAAAAACACAAAAAAACTAGACAAACTCCAAAAAATACAGAACCAATGTATAAGGCTGGCAGCAGGCTACAGAACATCCACTGCACTTAACGTTATTCACGGTGAAACAAAAATCCCTTATCTCCAAGAGAGAATTAATTTCTTATCAAACAAATTCATTCTCAAAATGCTTTCGATAAATAATCATACGCTCATCCCAGACATTATAGACTTAAAAGAAGAACTAGACATCCACGACAGACACAACATAAGACAAAACCTTCCTTTTCTTAGCTCGTTCAACAATATCTCCAATCTAACAAAGGACATACTGATCACACACAATCACCCTATCCCCTATGATTACAGCTACTCTGAACTCTTATACAAACCACCAATAGACCTACATTCAGGCCAAAAAATACAAAAATCAGAAGACGCTTCAAAATCCTTTGATAACATATTTAAAAATCTAACCAACAATAACATAACTATGTTCACAGACGGGTCCAAGATAGATAAAGACCACCCTACAGGTCTGGCAATTTATCTTCCCCAAACCCAGTTCTCTCTTTTGTACAAAATCAATAACAATGCTTCTATATTCACAGCTGAAGCTCTTGCCATCTATTTAGCTCTAAAACTCTCATTAGACAACAGGCACCCCAAAACTTTCATCTTCACAGACTCCAAAAGCACACTCGAAGCTATAAACAATTTTTCTCCAACCAAGAAATCTGTCACAAACCCAATCATCCTAGATATAATTACAACCTATCACAACCTTAAATTACTAAACTTAGAAGTAATACTAGTCTGGATACCCTCCCACCTAGGCATTCAGCACAACGAAGAAGTTGATATATTGGCTAAAAGAGCAGTAAAGGTTGGCTCTTCATACCCCCTGAAACTTTTTTACACAGATTTCCACTTTCATCTTGCTGAAACACATAAAAAAAATAACACACATAAGCTGATGCATGAAGCAAGCTACAAAGGAGCAAAATATTTTGAGTTATTCTTCTCTGCAAGCTCATCCAAACCATGGTACGCCAAACATAACCGTCCAAGATTCCATATCGCCACGATAAACAGATTAAGATCAAACCATTACTCTCTAGCAGAAAGTTTACATAGGAAAAATATGAAGGATTCTCCCTCTTGCGCCTACGGAGCAGAATACGAGGACATAGACCACGTGATCTTTCACTGCCCCAGGTATGCGAGGGAGAGAACTTCCTTAAACGCCCAACTAAATCACTTTTCCAAAAAAAATAATTCTCCACCTCCCACATCTGTAGATCACATTCTAAAACAACCCACAGGACCTAAAGCAAAATTCATAACAGATTTTCTCAAAAAATGCAAACTGAACGTATAAATTCATTCTTCTCGTACTCTACAACACAATCTTTCACCTTTTCCATCTCCTCTCCAAATAAAGAGCAACATTCTGACCACCGTATATTTCAAGCTGCAACTCCACCTACAGTCAATTAAACCAATTAAAGTTCATCGCAACCAAACATGAAGTGTGGCAGACCGGCAATCTATTAAGATTCCAAGGCCAAAATAAAGAAGAAGAAGAAGAAGAACAGAGGAGCCAATACAAATTTAGCCAATGCAGACGGACGGACTCCTCTGCACATTATGAGCGAGAGAAACCGCAGTATTGGTTTGATGAAAATCTTATTTAAGCTCAGCAAAGCCAAAAATTGTCCCGTGCAGGTCGACGCCCGGGATAAGTCGGGCAACACACCTTTACACAGTGCTCTAAGATGTAACAACCAGAAGGTTGCCGAATTGCTACTAAGAAATGGCGCCAATCCAAATTTGGCTAACGAGAACGGAGAGACACCTCTGCATACTATTTGCATGAGAAGCCTCGATGATGACTTTGTGGAAATATTCTTCAAAGTCTGCGACGACATCCAGAAGACGGTACAAGTCAACGCCCAGGACAAGTTGGGTCGAACATCGTTACACTATGCAGTGTACTACTGCCACAAGAAGGTGACCGAATCGCTGCTAAGAAGAGGTGCCGATCCAAATGCGCCTGACGCGAAGGGATCGACTCCTTTGCACATCATGAGCAAGGAAAACCACGATAATTACGAGCTGGTGAAGCTATTCTGCAAGATCAACGAGGAGAGGAAGCAGACGTTACAGGTCGATGCCCAAGACAAGAAAGGCCGAACACCCCTTCAATGGGCCGTAGCAAACTTTTTACCAGATGTGGTTGACGCACTCTTGGATCAGGGGGCTGATATATCCAGCTTTGTCTTTCCCTGTTCGAGTCATTTCAACGAGTGCTTTGAATCGCATGGCATCGAAGACATTCGGTTTAAATTGAGATCGACGTCTGGCGCTGTGCCCGTCGTCGAATGCCTAGAGAAAAGAGGATACGTACCGGAACTAAGCGACGCCATAACGATCATGAAATTGTTCATAAATCAAGGATTATTCGCCAAGTCGGCAGATATTGAAATCAATTGGGATGACGAACAGGAGCTCGCGAACAAAACAAAAGAGGTAATGATAAATTCGAGCCTATCGCTGTACGATCTGATTCGCTTGCGACCCGAAGAGGCTGTGAAACTACTCACTTATACGGACTGCTTAGAGTTTTCACGCTCTAACGAGCTGTCGAAACTACCCGAAGGACCAAAGGAGGCATGTACTGCGCATCTGTGCAAGATAATGTCAAGAGGATTTTTCCGGCGCTGGGCACTGAAATCTTTTCAGAAACTGATATGGTACCGTCTACCAATTGAGTGCTCGGAGATGATCATAGAGCCGCTAACGAACAAAGATTTATATAATATTTGCTTGGCAGATAGATGCCAAAGTCTTGAGGACAGTAAAAAAAATGAAATTACATATGTGATTAAATGTAATAACAAAAGACAAAAAACTTGCTAAGACTAAAAAATCTCCAAAAAACTTCATGATTATGAATTGTGAAAATACTGAAGCGCTATTTTTATTCTGGTTATAAAATAAATAAATAGAACGAACACTGAGATGTATTCGCTTAGCGGCTACAAAATTAAGTTCTTGATGTTGATAAGCATATTTACAGTATTTTTAATGTCTGGCGTTAAATATATACTACTCAAATAAATGTATTAAAAAAAAATTGAATTCATTAATTTGTTTAGCCCTTTATTTTTTGTGTTTCAATGTTTTCATCTTGCCTCTGTTTCATACGACTACTTGGTGTATGACTTACCCATACTATACAAGAATAAAAAGCGAGGCACAAGCATCGTGAAATCCGTATCTACTCAAAATTCTGCAATTGAGACTCATCGAAACTGTCATTAGTAACAGGGTAAGAGGCGTACTACTACCGGTCTCACATGTGCGATGAGAACTTCTAGTGCTGGCGCTGACCGACGGAGTTTACACTCATCATGGAGGAAGCCACAAAAAAAAAGCGAGAGGTGCTCGCAAGAAGCGGAGATGCTGGACGGTGTCGGGCGTGAGACCGGGTCCTCTCTCACAAGGACGGCACTATTCCAGCTTACGGCGAAGTTCTGACGAACGTACCGAAGAAGAAACATCAGCACAAGGGAGAGCACCGACAAAGACGGCTCCGGAAGGCGGGAATGACGCTGGATGAGGGCTCCGCGGAGCGAGCGGGGGATCAGCAACAAGTTGACACGGTTCCTGAACCCCTGATCACCGCGCCTTGGCGTGCGGTGGATGGGGGATGTAGGGAAATGACCAAATACATCGATGCAGCAGCACTGCTAAAAGGCACCCACCGAAGTAATGTCTAACGATGGTTCCGGTGGGAATCATGCCGGAGTTCGGAAGGGCCACTGGTGCAAGGGTTTACCCTGCCCACGCCCTCTCCATAAAAAAAAAAAAAAACACACACACACACACACACATTTGATCAATCTCACGCATGCTCGACCGCACATGCAATAAAATATTCAAGTGACTCTAGTTCTTGAATTCTCGGGCGAGCTCTCAGTAAACATAATCTTTAATCGATAGATGCATACATTAAGAGCGCGTCCCGCGCACATAATATACACGTTGTTATATATATCGCGCCGGCATAGATACGGCACGTGTCAACTCTCTCTCTCTCTCTTTCTCTCTATATAACTGCTGCTACTATATTTCGAGCTCCTCCGCGAGCCCAGAGGAGAGCGTCACACGTGCGTTTAAACGTCGTAATTGCGAATATCCCAAAGCTCGTAATTTAACTTCTTGCAACTCGACGTACCGCCGCTCTGAACGATCGAATTTTTGTCGCTCTTGAAACTGTTGAACTCCCGCCGTGTCCGCGCGCCCAGTTCACGATACGCAGTATACGTCGGTGCGTACTTACAAGTTTGCGCGAGCTTTTGCACGAATGAAGAAAGACGAGAGAGAGAGAATGAAAAGAGAGTCATTACCTGCGAGTAGGGTAGGAGTCTGCAGACGAGCTCGCCGAGGCGCCAGGATTGGGTGAGCCTCGTGTAAGCGACCGCGGGCACCCCCAGAGCGAAGAGCAGATCCGCCGCCGCGAGATTCACCAGGCAGAGATTCGTCGGTGTGCGCATCTCGCGATAGCGCAGGGCGCACGCCGCTATGCCGAGATTCGCGATCACCGCCACGACGAAGCACACGCCCAGCACCAGTACCTGTGTAATTATAATTCATGGGTAATTTTTCACATCATCTGTATATCGTGCAAAGGTATTTGTGGGATAATCGTTATAATACGATGGTATTAATTAAATTCTCGTTGTTGATAGACTTTAATAATTTTACTTTATTATATGACTCGAATATAAAAAAAAAAGTTTTATCCATACGAATAAAATCTATGCGTAATATTTGTGCACCGTCATCTGCGAGATCAAATGATGAAATACGGAGCCGAGTAGATTCATAACGAGCTATATCACTGAGAAAATTATTCGTAAGTTTGTACCAAAATATTCAACTTTATAGGTTCTACGTGAAAATAAATATTCATATATTAATCGAGTTTTCAAAAATGCTTCCAGTATTTCACTTGAATTATCGAGCGCAGAATTACAATGTACACATTTCATGCAGAACCAGAGACGTTTACAATACATTATATCCTTTGTTCTAAAGGAAATTACCATTCCACGTTGATTCACGCGAGTGCAAAATAACTCATCCTTTTTTGTATCGAAAAAGAAAAACCGAAACTCACATTCTCTCAGAGAATACTTTTCATCGTCGTTTAATTAAACAAAATAAGCATTACATAGATGTATAAAAGCGTGACGTTTGCTTCATATAGCCTGGCGATGCGTGCAAATGAACGCAAGGCACGCGTTTGAAGAAAAAAACAACGGCCCGCTGCAATCTACAAAACCACGTACCCTCGTTCGCCATATATAGCCGGCCTATGGGGATATAATTTCGAGCTTTTTCTTCTCCCGTTGGCTTTTTCTGACAGGTCCATTTGCGCGGAGGCTTAAATATACACGCGACTCCTGGCATGCAGCAGCAGCAGCAGCAGCAGCGGCGGCGTCAGGCGGTGAAGGTTGACCCATCAAACGCACATGCGACCATATACAGCCACTCGACATTTACACCGCTCGCAGCAGTGGTATATATATATACCCGCAGCTTTGCGCAATTGATAATGTCGATCGTGCGCTTTATTCCGCGATGCGCCGCCTGCAATCGCGATAATTCCACCAATTGTTGGACAACTCTCGGATTCGCGCATCGTTGCAAATAATTAATACGGTTGAATATCGTTGAATTTTACCAACAAAATTTTATTAACAAAAATGCAAGGATATTTACAGGTTCGACAATCGATATATTTATATGTATTTGTGATTTATGTCAAACGGATGCGCTGCGGCTGCTCTTTCTCTCGGTGGTTAAGATATATACAGAAGGTATCACAGACTGGGCAGCATCGCGGCAGGCCAGTAGGGCTTGGCGTAAGCCTCGATAGTGAAATTGAGCGGCACGCCCTTCTTGCTCCACAACTGGACGACGGCGTAGGGATGGCCGACGCCGCCCGAGACGACGCGACCGTGACCGCCCATGTTGGTGGCGTTCCGGTCGAGGATGCGGATCTGCGTGATGATCTGGCCGCAGCCCCGCGGCCGACACCTCTTCCTCGCGCTGACGATGCGGCCCTCCTTGGCCGCCTCCTGGATCTCCGACGTGCAGACGAGGCCGTCCCTGCCCTCGCCGAGGCGCTGGCCCACCTGCAGACTGCTGCCGGCTACGTAGCAAGCGCCCATCGCCAGGCAAACCAAAATCGCCAGGTATATCGCGCCCGATCTTACGGCCATTTCGTATATCTCTCTGTCGTTGCTAGTACGGTGTTTTTCGACGAGCGCGACGAGCGAGTCCGGTCGATCGTCTCGATCGCCGCGTACTTATAATCTACGAGCGCCAACGAATCGTATCTTATCGATACAAATTTGGATATTAATTTCGAGGCCCTGAATCGCGAAGCGCAAACATTACGCGGGATTCGAGGCCGATAAGGACTTTACGTAACTATAATTATCGAGCGGCCGGGAATCGATCGATATTACATGTATCGCTGACTTGCGAGCTGATCGCGGAACAGTTTCGCATTTAATCGTCCAGAAATGATTCCGTGTCAAAACAAGCAACAATTACGCGAGTAACGAAATATTATGTAAAAAGAAAAAAAAATGAAGAAGAGTTGGTAAGCGCATCGAGCAGCCCTATACGGAACGATCGTACACGCGGCTAATTATTGAACGCGAGAAAAGCAGACAACGCGCGGCTAATTACATAAATGTTTATTCTTCTCGAATCTTGTAACTCGTTATACATACATATAGTGCCGTACACGCTGCGTATATATATCATTATGTATAGCGAAGAAAAACGTGTGTACATTCGCTCGGGCACACGAGTTGCTGCATTTAATAACATTGTATACTGTGCATATATGTACGGACAGTAGGAGCATACGAGCAGCAGTAGTGCCGACGCATAAACTACACACACGCACACGCACTCGTTCTCGACGCAAGATTTTATTATTATACGCGTATGTATCATATACGTATGCGTCAAATATTTACATATAAATTGCGACTATATAGTTTGCCGAAATTACGTGCCAAAAGTTGGAGCGCCAAGTAAATGCGTATATATATATATATATATATGAATCTACGCGCGCGATCCAGTTCGCGTACATTTACGTGCGCGAGTGTGTGGGCTGTGCAATTAGCGCGATTTTTCCGCGAAAAATTCCCGCAAGCTCTCGTTGCTGCTGCTGCTGCTATATACGAGCTTGCCTGAAATTGTTCATACATACTCGGTCTGGCTCGTTCGCTCTCTCTCTCTCTCTCTCTCTCTAACGAAATGCACGATCGCGCGCGAGCGAGAATAATCCGGGAGTGCGTGCGTGGTGTATTGTGTGTATACGTTTTACCTTTCGCGTGCGCACGTGTATTATGCGCGCGATGTATATATATACAATAGCGATTGGCAAAAGGCAAAAAAGCTCTCTGCCTCTCTCTCGAGTTCCTTATTTGCAAAGTATTGGAAACTTGATCAAGGCACGCGCGGCTATTGTTCTGCTCTGCCGCCGCCACCGCGATTAAAGCCGCGCATCGCACATAGCTCCGCTGCATCCGCACGCGCACGCGAGCACCTCCGTACCACGTACACCGTTATATACATGTATATACCTAGCAGGTAAACAAAACTCGGCGCGGCAGATCCTCGGCTCTTCTTTCAAGGTGTATTATATAGATATACGGCCAGCTGTGGCGCATGCAGCGAACGCAGTCGCATCGCGGAGAGCTGCTCCATTGTCTGCGTCCGGCTAACGTATTCGCTCGATCCTATATATCCTTTCTTTCTTTATCGCGAGTAAAAAAGTTCGTTGAGGGGAGCAACGGCAAAAGTTTGTCGATGCTTTTAATTAAGTCTCCGAGTATCGAGCACGTATAGAAGCGCATACAAAAAGGAAAGGGAGAAACGCATCGAAACTTCATTATTATGTTTATGTGGCTTACCTCGACGCCGCTGGCCCCGTTGCGATCGCCGAACTCGCTGTAATACGTGAAGTAGTAACGTCTGCCCCAGTCCTCGTCCTCACCCAGCACGTAAGACGAGTTCATATCTCTTGCTCTGATATTAAGTACACTGCCAGGCACTTCTGCTGCTGCCGCCGCTGCTGCTGCTGCTGCTCGAAGCAGCCGACGCTCCGCGAGAGAGATGATCCGATTATGCTGCGCTGCTGCTTTTATCTGTTTTTATTAAATTTTTTCCTCGACATTTTTACGCGACGAGCCCACGGCAACTTGGACACTGCCGAGTAGTGCTGCTGGCGATGCTTTTGCTGCTGCTTTTGCTGCTGCTGCTGACCTCTCTTCGTACGGTGATTCATTCGTTACGCTGGCTGCGGACTCGTCGAGTATTGATTTAAAGTCGTCGTTTTCGATCAGCGACCGCATGACGATTCGCGCGACAACACTCGATTCTGCACCTGCTGTGCGCGCTGCGCGACGTTGTAAACTTTTTAAACGTCCAACGTTTTCTCGCTGACGCAGGATCGCGCTGTATGGCCCCCTCGAGCGGACAATCGTGCCGGACCGGCGCCAACTGAAACATGTAATTACAAAATATTAATTCATCCCACGCACGCTCGATCATCAGCGCGATACAATGCAAATGAATAATAGAAATTTCATATAATTATTAATGCTAACGCGCGGATGAATCGATGGAAAATCACAATTTGTATTAGTGCCGCGTCATTTGGTTATAGCCCGGCGAACGTCGCCCATGTTCGCGTACTTTGCTATTTCGCGGATTGTTCAATTTGCCTCTCCAGATGGGCTGCTCCCTATTAATTTGTGGCCGCTGTATGCGCACGATTATAATCGCGAAACGCGATGCGTACAAAGCTTTCCGCGATTATTTCGAATTTGCTCTCGCTTCCGTATATATTACGGAATTATCAGACGAGTCGCGAGCAGCGAGCTTGAGCGTGATCTTGAACGCGATGATCGTAAAAAATCCCTCTCGCGTCGCATGCATTAACCTTCGCTTATATATATCGTCCAAAGGGGAGTGTGCGAAAAGCTACTACTACGACGATGATAGCGATCGGCCAGACCTTCGCCGGATCATCGCTTTTCTGCGTGGAAAAACTCGCGCGCGCGTATGTCGCTTCTTAAATACTGATCATCCCCCCCCTTTTTCGATCGATTGTTGCGTATATAAAACGCTACATAAGCTAATAAAGAGGGAGAATTATGATGAGTGTATCTCTCTCTTTCTCTTTCGCTGTGCTCTCGAGGATGGCCTTGTAAAGCGGATTACTCGCTATATAAATATATATATGAACGCGCGGGGTATATGTGACATTCGTACAGATATTATAGTAAATTTATCGTATTGATATTCGTATTTCGCCTCGCAAGGACGCAGGATGACTTTATTTATTACCGATGCTGTCTCTGCGCGTATATCGAGCTTGCGAGAACGGACGAGACCAAAGTGTATATACAGTGCGAGCTTGCAAGCTCCGCAGCCGTTCGTGTATACGCTCGCACATTTATACCCATTGTTTTTATAACAAAAGAATAAGAAGAAGAAACTGAAGAAAAAAAGTGCCGTTAACAGCTCGCGTCGCGATACGACGACGATGACCATGATCTCTTCTTATTATACAGAAGAGAGCGAAATTTCACGCGCGAGCCAACTATATAATACACTATATAACGCGTTTGTATTTCGCCGCCCACGCGCGTGCGGACTAAACTTCCTTTAGCACCCGGCGAGAAAAAAAAGTCCCTCGCCTTTACGACTCGACGTTATTCGATCTCTTCAAACTATTTCGGATCTCTTGAATAACGCGACTTTCTTTAGCATAATCGCAGACTGCATGGCTGGTATTATCCCATTTTCGGTAGTATATACGGAAAAAAATTTCCCCCCCCTGGCTAATCGAATGTTTTACTGCTGCTACAAAAGAATCAAGTGCGCGAAAAGTTGAGAAATTAATCCGGTCCATTTGTGGGTGCGAGTAAAAATTGAAAAATCATTCAGAAGGTCGAGTAAATCATAATACAGTGTAGTTATAGTTACGCGGTATCGTTTCGAGTGATAAATAGAACTTCCTTATAAATTAATATAAAAAAGTATTAATTAAATGCCCGAACTGCAGCTGATAAATGGTAGCGTCCCGCAAACTTGTATGAATTTATCAAAAAAGTGTACGCCACTATGATTTATGTACGCTGGCGTGGCGTGGCGTGGCGTGGCGCGACTCTTTCCTACGACGACGAGCGGCGAGCGGCGAACGAATAATACAAAAAGATTTAATCGGGGGAAAATCGCACGTGGCGGGGCGCGGGGAGCGCAGCGAGCTAAAGTGCGATTTATGTGCGGTTTTTCAAAGCGTACTAAGTGCTGCCGCACATCCCCCCTGGGTTCGAGTCCACCGCTCAAGCGAGGATTCAAGGATCCGAGCGGAAATGCCAAAAAAAAGAGGAGAAGGGCAGAAAATACGACTCGATTGCGTTCGCCTTTATATCCATGGTAACTGTCGTAACGAACGAATTTTTTTGTCAGAGCCACTCGATAATCCGTCGCTCGACGGTGTACACAGCTCGGCCGCGAACGAGAGACAGAGAGAGAGATAGATATTGAGGGCGCGAAAAAGAAAAAGGGACAGTAGCCGCATAAAATGATAAAATGAACAAAAAAGAAAAGGCTATTCATTATTGGCTCGCGCGCTAATTGGCACTCGGCTATTCTCTCTGCGGGCGGGAGCTCTCTCGCACGCGTTCGCACTTCGGCATCATCGATTTCGACGCCTTGACATTGTGCACACTCGAGGTGCGGCGCGCAAATGTACATATAACGCACACACACAGGCGCGCGAGTATATGTGCCATAAGCTATATAATGTATGCAGCAGGCCGGGAGTGGAGGACGAGATTTCTGACGACCACTGCAATTTTTGTTTCAACTATTGGCGGAGCTGGGCGTAATAGTTTTAGATTCATCGATTATTTCATTGTGCAAAGTTGTATTATGGACCGAGCGACACGTCGACTGCGGTGCACGAGTGTCGAGGAGGAGCGAGCCAAGCACAAGAACAAGAGGAGAGAGAGATAGTTCACTTGACTCCTTGTCCAAATGATTACAGGCCGCACGGGGGCATCTCGAGTGCCACAGCCGCAAGATCGGAGGCGCCCCCGTTCACCCGCTTACTTTGACGCGGCCAAACGACTAGAAGACATTACGGCCAACCAACTTAGCCGATAGGCTTCCGATAAAAAATAATGCCAAAAGTATGGATCGTCGAAACAATGGTTTCGGACTTTACGCGGCGGGAGGGATGGGAGCCGAGCTCCTCGCCTCATCCTAGATCCAATCATCAATCATCCTCTACGCGTCCTTGTCACACACGTGCGCGCGCTCGACCGATATCTCGCCTCGTGAAGCTCCTACAGCGGATCAAACTTATTTGAATTTCTCCGCTCGAGCTGAGCACACGTGCGCGATATATAAGTGTAAGCTGCGCCTCTATATATACAGTCGAAAGCTCGACGCTCGCGTGCATCGCGCGGCAAACGTATACAACGAATAAAAAAAAAACAAATAAATAGAAGAACGCGAGGGGGAGAAAAGAGGAAGGAAGAATAAAGAAACAGCGGCAAAAATTCCAATCAGCGCCCCCCGATACATGTATAATGGCTCTAAGCTCAATTTGCTAATGAAACACGTGAAACATTGGCTGTGGATGTGCAGTACATATAGCAGTGGTAGTAAGTAGAAAAGAGCTGCTGCCACGCGCGTCCCGGACTATATATATACGATACGAGCTTCTGTGCGTGCGTTTGCTCGGCTGCTCTGGGGTTCTGCCAGCCTGTGCGGCTCCGAGTACATATATATCAGAGCTGTGCACGGCTAGCTGCTACTGGGGAGTGTTTGTGTCGAGCAGAGAGTGTAGTCTTCCTTTTAGGTTTAATTGTTTGCCAAGAGGAAACATCAGAGTATATGCCGCTTTTATCACTCCGCTAGAAGAGAAGATATACGTATACACGTATATACATACATACACGTACACGCGCCGAGAGGGAGAAGGAGTCGCGCATAATACGCAGATAAAGTACAAGAGCTCGGCTTAATTTTAGTATTATGCCGAAAGACTATTCGTCCAATTTCGTCGTGTACGATTGAAAGAATAAGCAGCTCCTCTCCCTCTCGCGAGTTATATACGTTATGTGTAGGCTTAAAAGCGAATGAATCGTTATTTCAGGGGCTATTAGCTTTGATTGATCAAATAAATTTTCATGAACCCTATGTACCTTGAAAAATTGCTAATAAATACGTAGATGTTACTTTCATCAAGTAAAAGCAACTGTACGTATTTGCTATTGAGATTTGAGTGATTGATCCGAAGCCCTCTACCGGTACGTAACTGCATGTTTAGGCTAAAAGTCCCAAAATCAGCGTGATTGTGCGCAAATAATAAGTGTCACCTCTACTTCGCTGGATTGAAGCTTTCTAATCGTTACCGCGAATAAAACGTGCTACAACGTGTCGTTTAATGGAGCAAATTTTCGAGTCGAATTTTTTGCCGCCCTTGGTCGAGATGTTAAAAATACAATTCCTTGGATCACATGGAAATTATCAGTAATTTTTGTAGCTCTTATGGCATATATGACATATTTATCTTTTTCTGAATCTTTAAAATAAAAATATGGTTCTCAGCTGGGATATCTAGAACTTTTTTCTTTTTAAAAAATATTCTCGGGAAATGAGATGCCAACAATTGTGCTCTACCCAGTGCCTGCGATCTCTCAATAAATAGCTATACTGAAGTCCGCGTTCACTCTCGATGATCGCGCTGTACGACGACCACTGCTAGGCGGCATTTATACACATGGATGGAAGTTTGCGGACGAGGCAAAAAGTCATCCAGCATCGGCCTGACGTGGCCGCAGAGTCGCGCGTTCATAGAAAAATATCGACGCAGCCGCCGCATCGCGGATACGCGATAATCGCAAAACGAGATAAAACGCGCGCGGGACGCGGCACAGTCGACGTATATACGCGTTTTATTATTACGTATCGCGCGACTCGCAAGCTCGCGCGCATTAATTTTGAATTTAATTTGAAATCGCGCGCGACACGCATTATATAGAGAGCGTTCGCGATTATAAACGGCGGTGCAATGAACGCATGCTATGTTACATGAATAAATCTTCGAGTGAATGAAAAAAAAAAAAAAAAAAAAAAATTAAAAATACGCACACACGCGCGAGTAAACAAAGATCGAGTTGAAAAAGCTCGCGCGGAGCAGCGGCTTATCGAACGACGCGCGGCGCGTGACGTACACCATTCTCTGTATACGTGAACACATGCCGATACATAATTTCTCCATGCGGGAGTTGGTGGGACGTAGGCTGCTTGCGAGCGAACGATCTGGGCATTCAGCCATTTGGAAAGGCACGATAGCATGTATCGCACTCGAATGACAAAGTCCTCACGGGGTCTGCGTTACACGCGTATTTCTCTCGCTCTATATTATTATATAATATATATGTGTAGACGTAGGTGTGCACACACAGGTGCATCACAAT